AGAATTAATCATTTTGCTGTTCTCCATTTCCTCTCCTTTTTGGCTGACCTGCACACAGTGTGAAATCTTTCAGGGGTGGGGGGCAGGGGTGGGGGAAAAAGTCAAATTAACCCTTTCTTACCAGCGGTAAAACTAAGAGCAAGGTGAGAAAGCGCTACAGGTGAAGTGCCTTCCAGCTCACTCCCAAAGGTGAGTTACCTGTGAAGTCCTTGCTGGGGCTGCAGGCTGTGGACAGAGCCCAGCGGGAGATGGCAGAGTGCATCCAGGTGAAGGCTGGTGGAAAGAGGAGAGGCTTTGCTTGTCCTGGCTCTCTGCACCTTAGCTTGCCTGTCCCCGAGCTACACCTGCGCTTTTGTTCGAGGCAGGTAGAAAATAACGACAGAATGTTTTTTATAAAACCAAAAATTTTATTTCAGCCAGCGGCCCTATAACATGCACCCTTCCATCCCCCTGCCTGTCTCCCTGACCACTACAGAATGAATCAAGGGATTAGCCCCCATCTTTCATCCTTCCCTAGAGCCCATGTCCAGGATGTTTTTGGTCCCCAGGGGCAGTCAGTTGTCTTCTAAGTTCTTTTTAACGATGTTTATTAGGAGCTGCAAACCTGCAGATTAAGCTCAAGCTTATTTGGAAGTAGATTCGAGGGGAACAGTCCAGGCCCCCTTTACCCTCCCTAGGGTGGGGTGTTCCCCAGGTGAACCGTCACTAGTAATAATAGGACACTGCAGGCCTTCAACAGCGCTGTCTTTTCCAAGCACAGTCTGGTAAGAGCTGCCTTGTCCTACAGGCTTGAAATAAGGGGGTTCCTCTCTGGGGACAGGGGGCTGCCTGCCTAGGAGGCGATTTTCCCCTTTCTGCACCAGGCCAGCACGGCTCTGTGTGTTTCTCTGGTTAGAGACCCCCGGGCTGATTGCCCCAGGCCTGGGCGATGGCTGGGTTGGTTCATCTGACCGCAGCCCTGGCCGCAGCAGGGGGGCTCGCCTGCGCGCCGCATCTCCAGTGCGCACGGACCCGTCGTCGCCCCCGAGCCCCAGCAGACAGCGGGCCGAGCTGCCCCGCGCCCCGGAGATAATATAATATAATATAATATAATATAATATAATATAATATAATATAATATAATATAATATAATATAATATAATATAATATAATATAATATAATATAATATAATATAATATAATATAATATAATATAATATAATATAATATAATATAATATCATATAATATAATATAATATAATATAATATAATATAATATAATATAATATAATATAATATAATACATTTATTGGATCGTATCACACTGCATCGGGTCGCATTGGATCGGATTATATTATATTATATTATATTATATTATATTATATTGGATCGCTTTGTGTTGTGTTGTATTGTATCACTCCGCACCGCATCGCATCGCGTCACGTCGTATTTCATCAAATCGAATCTAAGCGAATCGTATAATACAATACAATAAATACATTACGTTATGTTATAATTTTACTGTGTTGTATCGTGCCAGGTTGTATTGTATTAGATTGCACAAACGATATATGTGTGCATGTGTAGACACAAGCCTACATGTATTACTTATATATAGTGTAGCTATGTATTACTTTACATTACTTATATACAGGGATGGCGACTATGTTTATATCCATCCACCCATGTATCTGTGTGTGTGTATAATGTATATATTTTGGATTTATATAATGTGTATGTTTGTATCGACACACCCAAATGTATACACACACACACACACACACACACACCTGGGTGAATGAATACAAACATAGTCTCCATCCCTATGCATAAGTAATAATTAGTTACATATATGTAACTGCGCATTACGATATATAACTATATACATATCATTATGTCTAACTATATACATGTAACTCTGTATAACTATATATAATTATATATATGTATGTATGTATGTAACTATGTGTTACTTATATATAGGGATGGAGACTACGGATGTAGTGCATCTGTACTAAGTATAAATTATACATACACACGTAGGCACCACGTATAGATGATGATGATTAGATGTAGACCCGGGGTATGAATGCACCCTACTGTTAATATCGCAGTAGATAAATAGTGATGCTATTCAGCTCTACCGGAGTAAGACTTATATTGGTGGAAGCGAAGCTACCGCGTTGTACCGCTGTCATTCTAGCGGGATAGCGCAGCCATCGCACAGCGCAATAAAACAGCGCGTGCCCCCCGTGCCGTATGCCCTGGTGTGTAACACGGCATCTCCAGCAGCCACATTCATGGTTCTTTACATTTGTGCCCCGCACTGCTGCCCCGGGACGCGGCCCCGCGCTATGCCTGGCCCGTGCCCTGCACCGGCGGAGCAGACGGTGGGGAAACGAATTTATGACTCTGTGCAGCTCCTAGACGGGAGGGACTGTGCCCCGTGCCCCGTGCCCCGTGCCTTGGGCCGTGCTGCACCCGCTCTGCGCCCAAACTCCCGGCCCCCCAGGGTAAAGCCTCCTTCGCTTCCCGGCAAACGCGTTTCATGCCCGTCTAGTCCGCCCCGGGTCGCCCCTCGCCCCAGCCCCGGCGGCACCGGCTCTTGGTGTGCCCGCACTGCCCCGCACCTCGGTGCAGCCGCCTGGAGGGGGAACGGGCTGGGGGACGGGTCAGAGCAAGGCTTGGCTGGCCCCTAGTCCTCCAGCTTTGAGCCGAGGTTGCGCGCTATTTTCAAACGCCCTGTCCGCCCAGCCGGTCTTCTCAACCCTACGGACACCTCGGGCTACACTTCGGAGCCCGCTGCCTCGGGGGCGATCCGGCTTTGCCCCGAGGCTCCCGGTGCCTGCTCTCAGCCTTGCGCGGTATTTTCATGCGCCCTGTCCGCGCACTGGGTGTTTGCTACCCTCCGGCTCTGGCACTGGCCTCTCAGGGCTGCCTTGACCCCGGTACTCGAGACCCCTCTGCTGCTGCCCCCCGCGCTTCGGTCCCCGCCAGGCGCCCGCGGACTCCGCCCCCCCCGGCA